TATGTCCTTAAGACAGGATTTGTGAGCAAAGAGACCATGGGGAGGGTTTCCCATTTCCTTCCTCCTTTGAGAGAAACATTCGAAGTCCATTTGGGAGAGTCAAAATGGCTTCAGGACTGCCCTTCAGGCATGTGGCCCATATAATAATAATAATTTATTATTTATACCCCACCCATCTGGCTGGCTTTCCCAGCCACTCTGGGTGGCTTTCAACCGAATATTAAAAACAATATAGCATCAAATATTAAAAACTTCCCTAAACAGTTGTCTTTTAAAAGTAAAATATTTGTTTATTTCCTTGACATCTGAAGGGAGGGCGTTCCACAGGGCAGGAGCCACTACCGAGAAAGCCCTCTGCCTGGTTCCCTGTAACCTCACTTCTCGCAGTGAGGGAACCGCCAGAAGGCCCTCGGTGCTGGACTTCAGTGTCCAGGCTGGACGATGGGGGTGGAGACGCTCCTTCAGGTATACAGGACCAAGGCCGTTTAGGGCTTTAAAGGTCATCACCAACACTTTGAAATGTATGTTTCTGCCTGGTACATTTATGAACATTTATTTTATATCTTAGACCTTATAATTCTCACAACATCATCATCAATTATTTATACCCTGCCCAGCTGACTGAGTTGCTAAATAAAATCAGGAAGACTTCCTTTAGCTCAATTCTGAATAGGCTCAGCTAATGTACATCATTTTAGAACATGTCAGATTGGGGGTGGGGGAATTATTATTCAGATGCCAATTCTGAATTCTGTCTGCAATATTATTATTATTATTATTATTATTATTATTATTATTATTATTAAACGTTTATCTCCCTTTACTACACATTTAGGACCTGCAAGCTTTCTTAGAAATCCCTTCATGTATTGATAAGGGAGGTTTTTAAAAAAACAAAACCCTTTTTAACACTGTGTCATGGTAGTACAAACAGGAAATTGGTACTGCTCTTTTGTCCCACAGAATACTGAATTGTTCATCTATGACAACCATGAAACATTAAGCTGTGTCTGGGTTTTCATTCCAGTTTAATTCACTTTGCTACCCTTCAGTGATCGGCTTTGAGGAGGAAGCCACATTTACAAAGAAACAACACTACCAATGTTGCTTAAGAGTGTCCTGTTCAAAAACTATAACCGGAGACGCTTTTTCACAGTATCACAATGAGAACACATCAACAAACAACAGATCAGCTGTCTTTTTTTCCAGAGGGCCTATAAAAGGTTCCTCTGTTTTGTAAACTGGTTTTTTTTTACTTAGGGGCACATCACAAGACTTTCCGACTGAATTCCTCTTATTAAGCTTGCTTGTTTCTTTTTAGATCAAAGATCCGATTTCTTGTTCCAGCAACTAGTTGCGTCGGGAGAGGCGGCTAGAGTCTTTGCTGGACTCAGGTGGTGTTGTAGCAATGGGGAATAGCCTTGAGCGATATTTTTTCCCTCAAGTACAACTTTCTCAAATACAACTTTGATCACTGAAATATCGATGCTTCCTGCAGAAATAATTTCCTGTCTTTTGCAAAGACTGTAAAAAGCAATGGCTATTCTACAGGCCAGACTTTGTTCTTCTGTACACAGCCATCAGGACTGGGCCATAGGCAGCCAAGCGCATGGGAAGTCAATGTGCCAACCTTGGCAGGATGGAGCACAAACAGCGGGGGTGGGGGTGGGAAATGACAAAGAAGGTCAGTCCAGGGGCAGGGGGAAATGAAGAACAGATTCTGAGCCAAAAGGTCTGTCCAAAGGACTGCGTTGTGCATGCATGCTAGAATGAGCAAACGGTTGTACAATAGCAGGCAGTTAGTTATGCAAGAAACTAGATGGGGAAGAGCAGCCAACTCCCGAAAGCCCCAGCCAATATGGCCAGTGGTCAGGAATGATGAGACTTCTGGAGAGCACAAGGTTGGCTACCGCTGGGATGGGGCATCAGGCAGATTGGGAGGGGAGCAGGAAGACATGCTGCAACAAGGCTGGCTGACAGGTAGCAACATTTGATACCCATCAACTGCCCTAGAAAAGCCAGGACATCCTGTTTTTTCCTGTGAGATCACATCAGCCTTTTTGGGTGCCTTGCGATCATACAATTTCGGTCTGAGTTCTGGCCCTGAAAAAGTGCTTTTTCTGGGTCCGCAATCTCAAGTAGGTCACATGACTCATGCAGGATTTTGGACCCGGAAGATGGTGTCCCAGATTTGGGCTGCATCATGTTGGAGGGTATGACATCACCCAACGACTGTTGCCATTTAAATTCTACTATGTTTTTAAACGATTCTTTATGGTTTTGTTACAGGTGTGGGGAACCTTTTGTCAGCCTGAAGGCCACATTTCCTCATGAACAACCTTCCGGGGCCACATGTCAGTAGTGGTTGAAGGCCAGAGGAAAAAATGGACGGAACAATGAGTGTTATTTTTAGCTTTGTAAAGTAGGTTGTTTGGGAACGATTGAGGGCACAAGGAGAAGGGGACGACAGAGGACGAGATGGTTGGACAGTGCTCTCGAAGCTACCAGCATGAGTTTGACCAAACTGCGGGAGGCAGTGGAAGACAGAAGTGCCTGGCGTGCTCTGGTCCATGGGGTCACGAAGAGTCGGACACAACTAAACAACAACAACAAACAACAACAATGTAGGCAGTGTTCCAGGTCAGAAGGTTCTACACATTCACACACACATTTCTCTATCCAGTGAAGGAAGAGTTATTATCACAGTTCAAGGATATGCAACAACCAGGCAAAAGTACTCAATGGGGGGACATGGTGTGAGATGAGGATATATGGCTTAGAGTGGGGGTGGGGGTGTGCACTGAGCAGACTCTCAAAGGGCCAGATAGAAAGCCCTGGAGGGCCACACTTGAGGTTCCCCACCCCTGTTTTATGAGTCACTATGGTTATAGTTTATAGAAAAGCATGGTAAAAATACAGCAAACAAATATCTTGAGCAAGATGATGACTCTATCGGAAGGCTGATTTTGCAGTTGCCAAGAGAAAGACTCAGACTAGGTCAAAAGGCCTACTATGAATAGTCTACCTGGGGTATAGCACTACACTAGGATCTAAGGAAACAATAGCTGCCCCTTCTTCCTTCACTGTGCACACCTGAGTAGCTTACCTTAAAAGAACACAGTGCTTAGATAGGGAGGTTGAGCGCAACAATAGCCCACAACCCAATTCGAACCAAGTTTACTGAGAGGTAAGCCCCGCACTGATTTAAACAGAACTTGCATGCCTGGCATTCCAGCTATTACTGCAGATACCTAGCAGTAAAACATTATCACGTACACTGATCAGAGAGATACTTTCAATTCAAAGTGTCATTAACATGCCAACTCATTTCTGTTAAGAAGGGCTTCACTGGGAAAGAAAATGAGAAGATATAGCAACATCCCAAATTGTTACTGCCATTATCCTAGCATCTATTTCTGTGCAATCTTTCCAATTTCTGATTGCTATATTGATTTTAAGCAGTCCTGGGGCTTGTCTGCAGCAATGAAAGTGACAGTAATTATTCAGGAAAGTTCATTCATCAGAATACAAGCATCTGACTCACCAGACTTGCCTTGTGACTCCAGTTAAAACTACAGAAGGCTTTTCAGCCGTGGAACTGCATTAAATTCTTTGAAACACATTTTTTTTTAGTTCATAAATATCCCTGTTTTGTAAATAGGAGAAATTATCTGCTGTGAATTTGGGAACTATTTTACCCTTAATGTACTTCAAAAACATTAATTAAATTATTAAAACGGAAACTCTGTATGTACCAGCACCAATTTTAGAATTAACATTTCACAGAGGAAAGATGATGCAAAATGCAAGACAATTTTAAGAAATAAACTGACTGACATTTTAGGTATTTTTAGGATTTCTGTCTTTTGCATGTGAAAAAATGTATTTTGTCATACCTTATTCAACAATGAATGCAAAACATCTAAACAAAATACATTGGACAGCTACTGCTGATAGTAACAAGAGATTATAAAAAAATAATAATCTGTAGCAACAACACATTTAACTACATCCGCAAAGCCTATATTTAGAATGCATAGTTAAATTTAATTTAGGCACCAGATTTTGAGATATCAGTTCATTGTGGGCAGAATTCCATTGAAGACTTTGACTTGTTATTTTGTCTTTATTACCATAAACATATCTTACAGGACGGTCCTATAGATGTCTACTCAGAAGTAACTTTTATCAAGTAAGTATGTATAGCGTTTTAGCTTAGTGCTGCAATCTGATACATACCGTACTTATCTAAAAGTATGCCCCATTGGATTTACTTCTGAGTAGACACATAGACTGTGGTGTTAAAGATGTGTGTTCAGAAAAATAACATCATATGGATGTGTACATATTTCTCCATGAAGCATGCACAGTTGCAAAACCTGAAAATTAAGGTCTCTTGACCAAAATTGTTGCTATGTTTTCAGAAGTAACTCAGGGGGAAACTGCTCCGACTGCCACTTGTAGGTAAGTAGAAGAATATACATTTTAAAATAAATTTTGAAAGCTTTAAAAATAAAATAAAAACAGTATAGAAAAACAACTGAATGTGCCGTGTTATGCAGACACAGTATTATTTTAGTTTTGTGATTCCATTATGCATTTTAAAAAGTGCTGTATGGCAGATTGTATTTGAAACACGATAAAGCAAGTGTTTTTGTTAATTTGTTTGTTAATTTGTTTTGTTAATACAAGAATCAAGAAAAGTCTTTGGCATATTTTGCCTATATTTGAAGGCTTGAAGAAAGAAGGTTATTGTGAAAATGTAAAAACATGACTGGTCAATTCACTAGTGGAAATAAAAACAAGCGACAACAAATTTACAAGGTTAATCTATCGAATCTACTAAACGTTCACACCTTATGTGCATTTCTATATAGATATACGCTTCCACAGCTTGTCCTTTGCGGGTCTCATAAATTTCAATAGGACTTACACAACAGAAATCCCCAATGATTTTTGGCTTATTCTTGGCATTTTAAAATATTTTAAATATGACTAACCTGGGTGCAGTTTGTGCTGTAGTTGAACACGGTTTTTGTCTTGAAGGGTGCTTTTTTCAAAGTCGTCCTCACTGGCAACTTGATGTAGCCCTGGTTGTTTCACAGAAAGTCCGGGATGTCCAAATTCAGAAAACCTGAGTTGCAACTGTGCTTCAAAATCTTTGCCCAATGAGAAATTTGTAGTGGAATGTCTTGAACGGCAATCATCACTAGCGCCAGACTCTTCTTCAGTGTCAAGCATGGGCAATGGAAGTATTCTGTGGTGTAGCTGTGGGCTAGGCAGACTTGAGGATAAAGGAGAAGGAAGAGGCGACATCTGTTTGTATGTATTGGACAGTGGATAGGAATTATTAAAAACATTGCTAATTGCTACTAAGGACGGAGACAGTGGCCTTTTATCTTCCTGTTTAATGATGGTCCTTGCCTGGCAAGTATCGGGATTCAGATTTATTGGCAGGTGTAAAGACAAATGCTTTTTGTCCTCCTGGGGTACCGTAGCTCTTTTTTCATATACCAAGCCTGCTGGGCTTCTGTCTGCTCTTGTAACAGCCTGTAATCGCTTCCATTCTGCCGTTTCATCTAATCTGTCATACTGTGTAACTTTCAGTAAGGTTTTATTGACGACTCCCGCTAGACTACATGAGTCGTCAATAACATGGTCTTGTTCTCCTTTATGTTGTGGAATATAGCCTTTCTGCTCTTTCTCCTGTTTTACAGTGGCGAAACCAGAACCGACAGATTCTTTGCTCCCCTCACTTGAGGCATAAGGTACTTCGCAGTATTCCCCAGAGGCGCGTCCAATGTTCTGCAGGTAGCATTCAGAGACTTCCGCTTTTGAGACCACTCCAACGTGAGGCTTGCTTTTGCAGTTTCCTGCAATACGCTCATAACCGTGCACCATTTCAGAGGCTGAGGTCTTCTCAAAAGCCTCAGATTCATTGGTTGACGTTCCCTGGAAAGAGGTCCGCGACGGGCTGCTCTGCTGCACCTGGATCCCTTTAAGGGTGTCCTCTACATCATCTAGCAGACTATGGCTATGTGCAAAACAGTGTCCAAACACATCATTGTCATACTCAGAGAAAGAAACAGAGAGATCTGTATCAGACCCCAAAGCCCGGCTGTTCTCAAGCAAATACCACTCTCTCTTGGATCCTTCTGCCAGTTTATTCACATCTGATGATAAATCATCTTTGTCTTCCACCTTCTCCTGACGAGAACATGCAAATGAGCTGGAATATTTGGCAGAAAGAAATTTATCATTTCCCAACAACATTGCTTTGCTGTTTAATGCTGCTGGCTCCAAAACGCCAGGAGTCTTCCTTTTCATTTTCTTGTTTATGAAGTCCTCAATGCTCTCTCTACGTTTGCTGAATCTCCTGGTTTTTTTGTTTTTTGGAGTGGACCTCTTCTCCATAGATCCCGAAAGAGACTCTTGTTGATCCTTGAAACCCTGTCTGCCATCATGGCTATATTTCAGGCTTTCAGAAATGTCTTGCAGCTTCCCCTCCTGGTTCCCCATTTTAACACCTAGAATGTGGCTTGAACTAAGGAGAGTAGCCAACAGCCTCTCCTTCTCAGCATTCAGTTTATACAACTCAGTGAGAATATCCTTAGTAGTTGTTTGCTTGAAGAAGATGTCTCCAATGTTTTCACAGGTCTGCCCTCTCGATCCTACTGCCTCCGAGCCTTCGCTCACTCGATAGCAGCGATGAAAATGTTTACTGGACTTGTCCAGAGTTACACAGCCCTTGTATGTGAAACCTCTGACTTTCCCCTTTGGGAGATAGAAGCTGACGTAGCAAAGCTCCATAATGGGTCTGTGCAACTGGAGGACAGTATAAGTGCCTTCCATTGTGTTTGTCTAATTATTTAATTTAAATTATGAGGTCAGTATTTCTAACCTTGCATGACACACCATGTGATGCAAGGAAAGTAGAGGAGGCATCTGACTAATCTTCTACAGTAACATTTCCTGTTAAAAAGAAGAAGAAAAGCTTGTCAGAAAGATGTTATCCTCCCCACAATTTTTTTAAAAACAGAACGAAAACAAGTATCTAATCTCCTTCAAAATATAATCCAAAATACCAGCCTGTCACAAGAACTGTGACGCATATGAGTTATTGGTCACATTGCTAGAAAAAACACATACCATACTTCAAACTTTTAGCGTGTTTCTGAACTATGTTACTATTTTCTTATTGATCTGCTAAACATTAACAAACTGCTTGGCCAATGGAATATGGTTGAAAAGATTTCTCCCAACATAACTTTGTATTTGTACTGTAATAGGACTATAGTTCAGTGGTATCTCTGCATTTAGAAGGTCCCAGTTTCAGATTGTGACACCTCCAGATTGTGGTCAGAAAGACTTCTGTTTGAAATCCTTGCAAGCTGCTGCAAGCCAAAGTAGATAATACTGAGCAAGATTTGACATAATGTTCCTACATACTGAACCAGTAAACACTCTAAAATACTAGATTACACTATTGAAAGTTCAAATGCTGGTGTAAATATTAGTATGAAATAAAACACATCCAAATAAATTAATAAAAGTAAATAAAACAATTTCAATTATCCAATTATCATTTTTGATATAATGAGATATAATGAGATACTGTGTTAACAATTGATTAAAAGTTGAGTGTTGCACCTAAGAGTGCATTCAGATGTGTTAGATTTGCTGATGATAATGCTAGAGCTTCCATCCAATTTTCTAATGTTCCTTTCATACCGCAGGACCTGCTGTGTTATGGAACAGTGGGTTTGGGGCTGATATAGACCCATGCTATGCTAAATTTTATTTACCCTAATGGGTATGCTGTGACACAATAGGTAAAGGACCCATGGATGTTTCAGTCAAAGGTGACTATGGGGTTGTGGTGCTCATCTTGCTTCAGGCAGAGGGAGCCAGCATTTGTCTACAGACAGCTTTCCAGGTCATGTGGCCAGCATGACTAAACCGCTTCTGGCGCAACAGAACACCGTGACGGAAACCAGAGTGCACGGAAACACCGTTTACCTTCCCACCGCAGCAGTATTTGTTTATCTACTTGCACTGGCATCCTTTCAAACTGCTAGGTTGGCAGGAGCTGGGACAGAGCAACAGGAGCTCACCCCGTCATATGGATTTGAACTGCCGACCTTCCGATTGGCAAGCCCAACAGGCTCAGTGGTTTAGACCACAGCACCACCCGCGTTCTCCTGTGACACAATATCATCACTGGACAACGTCACCACTAACCCCATGAAAACAGCAGGAAAGAACTGTAGACAGTGGTACCTCTGGTTAAGAACTTAATTCATTCTGGAGGTCCGTTCTTAACCTGAAACTGTTCTTAACCTGAGGTACCACTTTAACAAATGGGACCTCCCGCCGCCGCCATGCGATTTCTGTTCTCATCCTGAAGCAAAGTTCTTAACCCGAGGTACTATTTATGGGTTAGCGGAGTCTGTAACCTGAAGCGTCTGTAACCCAAAGCGTCTGTAACCCAAGGTACCACTGTACTGGCATACTGCCCCAAATTTCATCACTTTACTCCCATGATCTGAGTTAAAGGGACTGAAAATTGATATTTTCTGGAAAATGTGCATTAGAAATGTGCTGTATTCCATTAGTTTTCTACAAGTGGTTTTTACTCATATGAAACCTCAATTTTAATGAAGAAATTACCAGCTAGAGAAATGTCAGAAAAAATAGAACAAACTGCCATGTGAACGAAGCCCTAGCAAATGTGATTCTGAGAAGTCAAGCTCTGGGTGTCTCTGCTTTGTGCTCAAGAAGAGCACTTTATATGGAACTTTCCTAATACAGAGTTCTGTCCAACAAAGTTGTCCCACTGCAGGGGGCTGGACTAAATGGCCCTTGGGGTTCCTTTCATCTCTACATTTCCACAAACCTATTATCAGCGCAAGGACTTCTGCCTGTATAGGAGGACTTCCTCTCCCTGTGCTCTCCCAAATCTGTTCTAGATTATTCCTCCAACTCTCTAGGGCAGATTTGGGGGGGAAAGTATAGAGAGGGGAGTGCCTCTGTGCACATATAAATAGCATTTCTCCTAAGTGCTCAATGTTATTCATCCATATTAATATCACAGTCCACAAACTGAGGGGATACTATATTTTTAAAGTAGGTTACCAAAGACCACCCCGTGAGATCTTTGCATAAAACCAAATTGAAGAAGAAGAAGAAGAAGAAGAAGAAGAAGAAGAAGAAGAAGAAAGAGCTTAAAATACAGTGGTACCTCGGATTACATATGCTTCAAGTTACAGACGCTTAAGGTTACAGACTCCACTAACCCAGAAATAGTACCTCGGGATAAGAACTTTGCTTCAGGATGAGAACAGAAATCGGGCTCCGGCGGCGCGGCGGCAGCAGGAGGCCCCATTAGCTAAAGTGGTGCTTCAGGTTAAGAACAGTTTCAGGTTAAGAACGGACCTCCAGAACAAATTAAGTTCTTAATCCGAGGTACCTTTGTATATAAATTGGAAATTGGCATGATTTACAAAGCTTTTAAGATCAGTTTTATATTATTTAGCACAGAAAACATTTGTTTCTAAATGTGGATTTCAACCAAAATATTTATTGCCTGTTTTTTGCTTTCATATCTAGTTTGACATACTGTATTATTGATAAGAGTATGATAGATGAGTGTGTACTAGCAGCACTGTGGAAGCTAGGGACACAGTGATTACATTATGGCTCTTTCTAATTTAATTTAACCATGCTACATGCATAATATGCTCAATTCCAGTTCCAGGTCATTTTGGCGTACACTGTTCAATATGCTCTTTCTTTCTCAAGCAACAGCAAAAGCAACAGGCAATTGCTTTTACCATGTACAGTACTTATGAAACATCTGACGAGATCATACATCTCAATAGGATTTTGACAAATGTGATGCAAAAAGATCATGGTTTCCCATTTCCATAATTGTCAGTACTGCTAGTTCCCTGGAAAACGCCTTTGCTTTTCTTTCATATACAAAATTATCTAGATGTGTCTCTGTTTTTTACAACTGCCCAGTTTTTCCATGAAAGTGACAGGAATTTAGGAGCACACCCTATTTAACTGATGCAGTACCTCATACAATCTGGCCAACAGATATCTGCACTACTTTAAGTGGGGAGCCTGTGGCTCTACAAGTGTTCTTGGACCACAGATCCCATCATCCCTGATCGCTGGCTGGGGCTCATGGGAGTAGGAGTCAAAGAGCTCCGGAAATGCCACAGGAGGAGCTCTGTGCTAACTACTTAGGCTGCATAATCTTCAATACAGCTTAAAGTCTAGCCACATGCAATGCCACTGGAGTCGGACAATGTCCAAAATTAAAAGATGTGTAATAAAAATGTAAGTGTTATTTATAAGGGCCATCTTGTGCTGAATGCTGAGCCTGTGTATAAGCTTGACCAAATCACACGTTCTCAAGATGATTTCACGGTCTATAATATGGAAGCATACAGAAAAACAATTCTTCTCAATACTTAACCCGTGAAGGACAATGATATGTCATGTGGCTAATTCTTGTTGCTTAGGCAGAACAACCAATCAGGGCTAGAAATTCTTGTGGAAACCGATAAGTCAATCAAGCATGTTCTTTTCCTAAAGTCTAATACTGCAACTGAAGAAAATTCCTTACAAAATCAATTATCTTCTTCTTGTTATATGATACAGCACCCAGACCCCAAAACTATTTCAAGGTGCATAGCATAATTTATTCCTCTTGCCCTCCCCAAAATACTGATGTGCTTCCAGATGGGGTAGAACTAGAAGCTGTCATTCAGTGCTCTTCCACTGTAAACTACATACAGAATTAGAATTGCTTTCCCACACTTCAAGGGTTATAGGGCTTTGTGTGTGTTTGTGTGTGTGTGTTTATGTACATTCCACTATTTTCCACCCACACTACTGAGAGAGACACAGCTGTGTGGGTATGGAAGGGGCAGTTCCCCTGACCATACTGTTTTTTGTTTTTGTTTTAATCAATTTGATCAAATTTCAAAAATTATACCAATGTAGTTTTATTTAGGCTCTCTTGTCCACTTGATTTAAATGATTGGGTTTTTTGTTTTTTGAAGTCTGGATCCAACCTATTATGTTTGTCCACTCTCTTACACAAACTTACTTGAAATTTATTTAATTACGCATTAAAGCTCTAATGATGCTGGGAAAAGATATCTTATCTGGAGACACCTATTATTACCCTCTCTTTATTTAAAAATATTTATAAACCACCTTCCCACAGTAGAGAAAACAAGACAGCATCAAAATAACTAACAAGTATGAAACAGGCTTCAGGCTGACATGCAAAATAAAACAATTTGCCAAAAATAAAAACAGAAGAGGTGCCAAGCATTTTTCTTCAAGGAGGCTTTTCCATAGACTGGGTGTCACCCTGATAACTACCTACCTAGGTTCCATAAGTGGGGAGGTCCAGAGCAGAGCATCATAAGCAAGCCTTCAAAATTTTTAGCTCAGTAGTTCCCAAACTTCCCCCTCCACACACATAAACCACATGAAAATTCCTTAAGGTCTTAGTGGACCACTTACTAATATTCTTCTGTCTGATGTGGCCATTGTGCTAGATGTTGTATGATTTTTTAACTGCATTTTTATTTCTTCTTTTATTTCCAACATTGCATTTTATTGTATTGCAATTTAATTTCATAGAATTTAAACTATATGTGTTATTCACAGACGTGACACAAACCACTGGAATGAAACTAGTGAACCACTGGTTTGGGACCACAGTTTGCTTTAGTGTTTGGCCATTGTAGGCTTTATAGGTCAACACCAGTGCTTTGGAGGAAAAAAATGGGTAAAAGAGAAGAAATGCTGGCATTTGAGAGGAAATGCTGTTCTATCACTTTTCCTTTCTTTTGACCAGAATCATTATGGCTCTGGTCAGATGTTACTTTTTAAATGTGGTTTTGGGGGGAGTGGGTGTCAGGCTTTTGGATAATATTACGTTGTTC